GAAGATGTCAAAACTGTGGTTTTCTGTCACATATCCAAGAAACTTATGGGTAGACAAGAAACTTAGGTTAAAGAGAATGAGGGGAAAAATGCAAATAGAGAGGAAGATGAGAAGGCTGTTTTCCTCATTTTAATAAATGTTTAGACTGAATATAAGAGGTTATACAGTGTCTGAACATGTCATTTAAGCTGCAACAGGTTAAGGGCTTAAATTACTGCAGTTGTCATTCAGCACCCCATGCCAGAAAGAATATGGGTTTAGCAGTACCTCCTGTGCAGCCTTTTCAACTGAGCAGTTCAGGGGAAGCTTGGCACACTGGAAATTTATAAAACAACTGGAAACTGTTTATTTCCTTCCAATAAACATATAAAACTCTTTGAATTTGCTCTTGATCGCAGAATGTCTCGGGGACGAATCAATGAGGCCTTCAGGCTGGATGATAACACACTGGAGTTCGTAGGCATACTTCCAACCCTGGCCACACCTTATGAACCACCAGTCACCATCTGGTTAATTATATTTGGAGTGGTCATTGGCCTGGTTGTAATTGGAGTTATTGTCTTGATCATCACTGGGCAGAGAGATCGCAAAAAGTGAGTAATATTTTTGATATTATGATCATGATCATTGGGTGCTTACAAATAGGCTGCCAAATCTAACTGAAGCAAGTTAAGGAATTAAAGCTTATTATCCCCCTCCCATCGACAATGACAGCTAAAAGTTCAGCTCCCTCCCTTTCAGTGCCTAATCTTTGGCAACTCAGTGCAACTTCTTCATCATCAGGAGTTTATGCAAGGCAGCTGGATGCTGTGGCTGCAGGGAGTTGTAGTATGACCAGGCTTCTTCCAACCCCACTGCAAGGTGGATGGGGTGACCTGCTGGGAATCTAGTGCCTTCTCCAGCAGCAGAGTTCCCCACATTTATCAGCACCTCCAGTTTTCAATAACCTTATTAGAGGCTGTCCAGTAAGGTAGTTTTCCTTAAATGTTGCATTGACAGCAATATAGCTGGGTTGGTTTTCTGTGTCTCTCCATTAAAGGGGTTTCTAAGAACATAGTAGGTTTGCTGCAATACACCTTAAAAGCAACATATAGTTCCTTTTATATAAATATTCCCATCTAAACACAGTATTATTTACAGTAGGGGATTCTGGGGGTCCAGAAGGACTTGAACAAAACAGGGGCTTCTAATATAAAATAAATTTTCATTACAGGAGAGCAAGAGAAAGTAGGAATGAAGCAGGATCAAACTGTGAAGAGGTGAACCCTTACGATGAAGAGGGAAAAAGCAACATGGGTTTTGAGCCCTCTGAAGAGACACTAACATCATTCTAGAAGATGTGGGTACATTAAAGTTTTCTGTGTTTTTCCATTTCACTTTTAACAATAGTGTCTAGCAAGGACCAGAACACTGTGGTTGTCATCAAACATAATGTCTTCTGGTTAACCATTAATCTACTGGTTCATAGACAACAGCAACTAAATCTGCTGTTTATGTGGTAACTAGAAAACATGCAAAAACTAAAGATAAATGTGTCCTGTGGCTTTTCTGTGGATTATGTGCATAATACTATACACCATTTGTGCTGCTTTTCATAAGTGTACTACATCCAGCTTCTTTTTGTTTCCTCTGTAATGGGGTACAAAAACTTGGAAGTACACAGTTGTACACAGATCAAGACAGACATAAGAATAACTCACATACTCCTAATGTTCATGAGGAACATCTTGATCTTTCCAGACGGAGACCTCAAAAGTGTGTAATAGAAAAAAACTGACCACCAGAAAAACCTTAGTGATGAAGAACTCAGTTTGATATAACTGCAATTTTTGCACCTTCAGGAAATATGCAACAATGTAAAATAGATACTTGATGAAGACTAACAAGCAGTGGAGTTCATTAAGAAGTTGTAACATAAGTTATTTTTCTAATGGTTTGCTTGATAAGTATTGCAGAGACCAAATAGCCCATGCTCCTTCAAAAAAAAAAAAAAAAAGAAAAAGAAAAAGAAAAAGATTTATGTGTTATGTTTTCACCTGAAAATGGAATAAATTTCCTTAATACTAAATCATCAAGGGGTTTTGTTTGTTTGTTTGTTTTTGTTTTTTTCAGTACCTTAGCCATTGCCGCAGCTATTACAAATACTGCATTCTACAAATACAAATTGTGCTCTTACGTACAGGAGGCAGTAGACTGATGCTTGGGACGTTCAGGTTGCATCTGAAAAATCCCGCTGTTCACAAGGAGGGTAGTGCAGCCCTGGAACAGGTTGACTATTCCATGCTTTGGGAGAGGCTGTGGGAGCTCCACCTTTAGAATTGTTCAGAGCTCAAGTAGACAAACTGCTCAGGGATGGCTGATTGATTAAGCAGTGGAGAGAGTCCCACTTTGAGTGAGAAGTTTGGCTAGGTGACCTCCAGAGGTCCCTTCCAGCCAGCATTGCTACGATTCTGTGTAAAGTGTAGGTCCTGGGCCATACCTGCCACCGTGCCTGTGCAGTTTTTCTGTATGCACCAGGGTCACTGAAAGGCACAAGGTGTCTACGCGGTCCTGCGTTCTGACAAAGAGCCAGTAGTAAACATGGGTCTGCATTAAAAAAGTTCAGCAAATGCATGGATTCATGGGCCTTCAAAATTATGAGAAACTGTAGAAAGCAGTCAAACATATATCTGAAAACATACAGCTGGACTCTGTGGGCTCACAAAATGCTGTCCTACTACTCCACGCTCATTTCTATTTAAGAGGTGAATACCCTTAAATGAGACAGTTCAAGACAGTAGGCAGATGATACTGATTAACTACGAACTAGATGAGAACATAAAGGAACGAAAATATAATCTTTAGGTTGCCTACCTACACCACATATCCCATTGCTATAGCATCCCCAAACTTTAGTACTTTAGCTGAACTTTTAAGATAAATAATTCAACTATATGTGGTCTTCCCACTTACCATGTGGTAACAGAAAAAGGGAATGGCAAAGCTGGAAACAATCAAATAATGTAATTAGTCATGCCAGCCATCTTCAGATCTGATGTTAAGATTAACATTTCCATTAAGGAAAAGCTTTCATTTCAAAGCAATTAACTTTAAAAGCTGTGCTATGAATCAAAAAACACCATTCAGAATTGTCAACACATAAAGCCACTAAAAAAATATAGCAGGATGTTGGAAGAAGTAAAAAGAAAACATTTATATTAAAAAAAACCCAGCTGTATGCATTAGCCCCAACAATACCTCACACCCTCTGTGCTGGGGGGGCCACCCTCCTCTCATATTTTATCTGTGTCGGAACGCCTTCCTGACTCTGTCTGGGTCAGCGCTCCTTGGCCCAGCTTGATGCACAGGCAACATCATACCATGCCCTACCCCTTCCTCATGTGCAGCCTTCCATGGCCCCCCAGGCCTGGGTAGATCCCCACAGTCATTTACATGACCCGAAATGCTGCTTTCCCTCAAGTGTGCTCACAGGTCCCCACCCAGACAAGGATGTGCTCTCCTGGCCAGCTTCCAGTGCTGGGACCAGCCAACTCCAGCAAGCACGGACACTGAAGCCTCTGGCTGCCCAGAGACCTTCATTTCTTTCTCTCCTCTCCCTACATGTCCAGATCCTGCATTTCTTACTCCTTTGGTTCAGGTGAGCTCAGACTTGAGCTGCAGAGGGGTCCCTGCTAGGGCTTGGCCAGCTCCACCAGGCAAAGGGCAAGCAGACATCACTTGGACTCTTAGAGGTGTCACACACTGAACTAGCTCAAATATTACAGAGAGAGAAGACAATTTTTTTCAGACCTTACTTTATTTTAAAACCTCTTTATTTTATATATAGTAGAACAGCATTTTACAAATGTGTGTCTCTAAGTTTACACACCTCTCTTATGTAGCTTCAGATGTATTTGGTATCTCTAGACTTACTGAAGTTAGTACTAATTTGTGTAATGCTATGCACCTTTGAAAGTTGGGTGCTATTATTTAAGTGTTAACATCAGGAGACAAATTTCAGCTCCTCGGTAGTAAAATATTTGGCTAAGCAATTATATTAATAGCATTTTCAGTTCTCTTCAAATTTTTGCTCTTCAGGTTTTATAGAGTTCAGCAAATTTGCCATTTACTATTGCATTGACTATGTAATTCTGCATAAAACTTTTATTTTTTTTTCTATTTTTACCTGTAGTGGCAAACAATAACACTCTAGTAAACACCTCATATGTTTCTAAGTTGTAAATATCTTAGATATGTAGCTTAGAATAAATTCCAAATCAAACATACATTCTGAGAGCCAAAACTAAAGTCAATAGTACTGATAAGAAAACTGATACAACATTTTACCAGCAGTAATTTCTAAGTAATTGAAAGCGAGACTATAATTTTTACATTGCTGTCATTTGCAGCAGTTCTAAATTTGACTTCAGGAATCAGCTTCAGAGGAAAAACAGATTCAGATGAGTTAGGATAATCAGAAAACCTAAAAAGCATATATTTCCCTGTTTATATTTGTAGTGTAGGCCAAACAATGAGAGCTTGGAATCACTGAAGAAGTGTACACAATTGGTGTATATATCTCAGTGTCTGAGCAGTCCTTTGAGATAATGTTAACAAAATGAGTTATACTCTTCCACAGTACCCTTCCAAATTCTGTCACCTACAGGGTGTCATATCAGCTTTCTCTGTATGCTTCTAGGTCAACTGCCCGATTAAATGAGAACAACACTAATATACAGAATAATAGGGGTAGCCAATGTCAGGCAGATTTCAGATTTAGCTCTTGTACAGAAGACAGGTGATATGGAACCAGTATGCACAGTCATCTGTTTCTGAATCTTCCTTTTCAAGCTCTGTTGTCTTCTTTCAGTGCCTCAAAAAATGGTAAGAGCTGATAAAAGGCAGGACGCTTTTCTGGTAGCTAAATGAAGCAAAGATAATGGATAGGGTTATTTAATTTTGAAATCATTCAGGAACTGTAATTTGCATCAGATTTTCTTGATTTTAGGATGCAGAAATTCATAGAGAGAGCGATGATTATAGGGTAAAGAAAATTAAAGTTACTTTTTATATCTATCTATGCTGTGATAGTTTAATCTTCTTTCTTTGTATTACGTGTCCTCAAATGTAAGTTATTTTTCTATTTTTTCTGACAATTATATTAAAAAACCCCTAAAAATCACTGTTAGTTCATGGTATCACCAATAACGTGCCTAATAGTTCTTTGTTGCTGATGAGAAACAAGTCATGGTCCAGGCAGCTGACTGGAATTTAGATGAAAAGGAACAATAAATCAGGATAATTCTTGGCACAGAAGACATAGATCTCAAGACAAAATGAACATTTGACTTATAACTCCTAGAAGACTCACAGATGTGCTAACATATCCTTCTCATTCTAAGGGTGGGGTTATTTCACACAACTTTAGGTGTCTAAAAAGTTAGAGGTCTCACCTACATTTGCTGCTTAAGATCTCTTTATAGGAAAGCAGAAATCTTTTATTCTGTAGTGGTTAAGATAGAAAGGACAAATGATTATGGAGAGGTACCAGTAATGGCTTTGTAACAATGGAAGAAATTTAGACAATTAGCTTAGCTCAACACCCAAATTTTAAACCATTAAAATTAGGTGAGAAGAATCCTGTATGTTATGTTGATGTTGAAAGGTATTTTACTGTTATTTGCTTAAATACATGGTTCTGAAAATAAGGGAGCAATCTTCCTTTATGCCCTGTTTTCTGTACTAACAATGTCCTAAACTAGACTGCTATCTAGAACGTACTACATACAGGCAGTGGCTTGTATAAGTGATATTTTTCCACTATGAACATTAGTTCAGCTATCAACAGAGACTCCTAGTGACTCCTATTACTTTGTTTTCTCCAGTTTGCATGTGCAGATAAACATACTTCATGCCAGCAGTTGTACATTATCTGGTAGATGATGTCTGAAACCAGTTGCGGTCTATAAAGTCGGTATCCTTGAGAAACTTTCTCAATCACTTGCATGTTATCATAAAGCTCATAGGGCTGCTTTCCCAAAGTGAACACCTCCCACATTAAGATACCTGCAAAAATATTCACGGCAATGGAAGACAAGAAATGAAAGTCAAGAAATGCAAGATAACTCCTTTTTACCAGAACAAGACACACATGCAATATATAGCTGATCAGACTCTTTACAGATACTATTGTACAAAGAAAAGTATGGAGATGACTGACAAGTGTGATTCTGTACCCAAAAGTAAAACAACTTCTACTGTGGAAGAAGGTAAAGTTAGATGATAACAAGATGACTGACAAGTGTGATTCTGTACCCAAATGTAAAACAACTACTGCAGAAGAAGGTAAAGTTAGACGATAACGTTAGTTATAAAATATATTTAATATGGACAATGATGCAGAAAACCCAAGACATAGCTATCTATGAATTGAATTTTTTAAAAAATACATACAAACATCCCCTTATACGTATGTGTGTGTACACAGAGTGAATGAAAAATAAAATGACAGCTATAGATATCTATGCTTTTATAGAGTAATAAGAAAATTTTTAATGATTTTTCTAAAGGGAGTGGCACATATTGTCCTTTGTTATCAGAAAGGTTTCCAAACACTACTGATAAAAAATGGATTATACTGAAGCAATAGAAACACTGGATAATATCATAGTCATTAATTCCTAATGATAGTTTTACAATAAACTATTTTTGCTGTAACTGAATGTATGTGATAATCATGCCAACTATAAAGGAAAAAAAAAGTCAGATATTTCACAATGATATATAATACTGGCAGTAATGATTTTTTTTTTTTTTTAAATAAATTTGTTGGGTATTTGACTTCCCTCCAGCTTGAAGACTGGAGCATTATAGTGTCACAGTGGGATCAGATAAAATGGTACCTGAATCACAACTTTCCCTGAGGAGAACAACAAAAAAACCCATATATTATTCATTCTCTGACATCTGTTTTTGAGATATGACATCAGTTCAGTTCTGTTCTTTAGCCCTTTAAAGACTCATTAGTTAAAAACCAACCAAACAAGAACTGACTGATCCTACTCTCCCCCTTGCTTCCACTGCATCAATGAATAGTGTTAAATTTAAAAAAAAGACCTTCCAAGGAAAAATAATGTTTCTCATTGACTTTAATGCCAGTATTGAAGTTAATGACAATAAAGCCTGGAGCCAGGATTTCATTGATAAGAGAAAAAAGAAAACGTATCACCAGAAAATCCATCTCCTGATTTAATCGTATCTATTATAAACAACTTCTAAAGGGCACGAATAAACTGTTTCTCTGCCAGAGTTGTTAATATTGGGACACTAGCTGAAGTTAAAGATAAGAAGCAGCTCAGCATTTGGAAGCACTTTCATCTGCTTTATTTATTGTTGTTCAATGTCAAGAACAGCGGGTTGCCCATTTTTCATCAACTTGACAGCTGCCAAAATTTTCCAACTGGAGGAGCAAACCCATGTAAGTGGAATTTAAGCCCATTCCCAAAAGGCTCTCTTTCCTTTGACACCTTTTGCAGACTTTTAGAAACACTGAACAGACTCCAGGGATTTGTAAATCATTGCTTTAAAAACACTGAAGTAGAATTTCAAATGTTTTAAATTCCTGGGTAGAAAGTGATATGCAAAAGCATCTTATTTTTGCCAAGATACAGTCCCAGCTCACATATACTCTCTTCCACAGCTGGTTCATGCACAGAGTCCACTCTGACTCCTGTGACTAACAGAAAAGCTCTTTTGACTTGGGCAGCACTGATTTATACTCTACATATGCCAAAGATCCCATTTGATCTCCGCTGCCAACATTTTACCATATTAAACTCATATACAGCAAATGGGGAGTGAGCAAAGTTTCTGGGTGCCTAAAAGAAAAAAAATAGAGCTAAAAAAAAATCCAAAGAGGATAGGGCTTGGATGCATTAAAATGTTAAAAAATAATATAAGATGTAACTGTTTTTACATGCCTGCTATGGGATGTAAAATGTCTAGCATTTCTGCTTAGTAAGCTGAGGAAATCCAAATGTAATGGCATATATGCATGCATACTTATATGTCAAATTCCATACATACCAAAGGCCCACACATCTGACTTGCTGCTAAATTTGGTGTAACGAAAAACTTCTGGTGCTGACCACTTGACTGGAAACTTGGTTCCTAGTGAGCTTATATACAGGTCATCCAGAACATACCTACAAGGTAAGAACCAAACTTCATTGTGACTGAGTTACAGTGAGATACTATTTACTGCTTCTTCCTTGTACGTCACAAGATTCCTAAGAAAAGCCTGGGCAGAATCCTGAATTTCCAAAGGATAACTGATAGAAGCACTAGCTATAATCTATACAACAGGTCATTGCTATCAACTTATTAGAGAAATAATGCAGAATCAGAGAAATGCCTGTTGTAAGGCCATCTAGCCCAGCTCCCTGCTGAAATAGGACTACTCCCAACATCAGATCAGCTCAGCCATGGCTCCATATAGCCAAGTCTTAAAAGCTCCCAAAGACTGCAACCTTGTAGTCTCCCTGACTGGCATGTTTCACTGTTCCACCATCCTCTTGGGGAAACTACTTCTCTTTCTGTGCAGCTTGAACTTCCTGAGCTACAGTACGTGGCCGATGTCCACTGTTATATCGCCTGGCACTGACAAGGCTTATTTGGCTTCGTCAGTAACTGTAAGTAACTATAGGCAACTTTTAGATCTCATCTTACCCTCCTCTTCACCAGCAGCCTGCTCCCTTAACCTCTTCTCAGTGGACATGTTATCTAGGCTGCTCATCCTCTCCAGCTTCTCTCAACTGAGGCTGCTGATTAAGATGTTTGGCCCTCAAATTAGGTGAAAATCTTGTACACAGAGTAAACTCTTAGATTTATTCAACAAACACGACTAGTGAAATCTCTTAGCTGTGATTGGCCTTTAAACCTTAACTTTTTGAGACAGGAGAATGGCTTTATTCTAACCCCCAAATGGCTTATGGTCATTAATGGAAAGGAGACACAAAGAGCTGTATCACACTCTGTGGCTTAATTTTCCTAACAGACAGTTGATAGCTGATCCATGCCAGTAAACTACATATACACTAACATCACAGCTTCACAAGGCTCCCAATTCTTGTACTTACCTAGTCATCCCAAAGTCAGACACTTTCACAATAAGATTGCTGTCAACCAAACAGTTCTTAGCAGCCTTTAGTAGAGAAATGAGAAAAGAGATGAGTGGAAAAAATACAAACAGGACCAAGTAACGTTGTGTTGGTAATTTGCTAATAATAATTTCTGTCCTCTAGCATTTCAATGAATAATTACTTTCTTTGAATTGTAAGGGAACAAAAAGTAGCTCTCTTACTTCACTTTTTGACTATTAATTGAAAAACAGCCTTTACCATTATCCTACCTTTACAAGTAAGGACATTGAGGGATAGGAAACAAAGGTGAGAAACCCACATTCACCTAGAAAAACAGCAACAGAGCCAGGAACTAAACCCTCTCTTTCAAATGACATCCTACTCCAGGGTCCTTTTCAGTAGTCTCAGAATTTATCAAGGCATTATAAATTGAAAAAACATTGATTGGATTATTCTCAATGCACTATAAACAAGACTGGAGCAATGAAAGGCGATTTAAACAGCTTGATGTATGAAAAGTTCAATATAAGCCTAGTTCTGCAAATGACTTGAGAACATTTATCTAAGGCTGTATTATCTGCCTGCATGCTTATTAATTTCTGTGACACAGTTTGATTCTACATTTTTCACCCTGAAATCAAGCTCAAGTTTTATTTCTGTTTTCCCATGGTGCACAGCCACTTTTTGGGAAACTGACTTTATATTTACAACTTGAATGCTGCTACTTAAGTTGTGTGATATTCCTGGTTTCTGAATCAGAGTGTGAAAATTGGTGAGGTATGAATTTAACAACTTTGTTTACACATAAAGACAATTCTTTGAAAGCATCAACAAGACATTTAAAATGCTACCTGAGGAGACTGAACTCCTATTGGAAAATTAAGCAAGTCCACAACATAAATTGTCACAAATCTTTTAACATATTTTTATCAAGAGTTAGAAGGCGAAATACTGCTACTGATTCTGAAGCACAATGCACCAGAAATTTGACTAGGTTTGCTTTTAATAGGCCAATAAAATAACAGCTTAATTCCCCAAAGCCAGCATTCTTGAAAGCTAAGTTTTGCATAAACTTTCAGTCCAAGACCTTGAAAGGCCTGATCCCTTCATTGAAAGCAACTTGAAATGCTTGCTGGACAATGGCAGATTAATGTATTTAAGAGTTGGGTAGCTACAGACTATCAAGTTCTGTTCCTGCTTGCAATGCACCAGTGTAAATTCCAGTTTATCCTAGTAGTGTTCACACTTGTTAAAAGAGAAATAGTTCCCATTCAGATAAAGTCCTAAATCATAAAAAAAAAAAAAAAACAAACAAAAAACCCCCACAACAACTCAAAAAACAATCTAAGTGACCCAAATCTTTAATGTCTCATCACTTTCTCCTGGAGGACTACAGCATCATTGGACAAAACCCTTTACTTCAGTGGACTAATTTTACAGTTGTATGTCTGTGCGGCCAAGTGGGGCATCAGTCCTTGGGGCCAGAGCTCCTAAATTCAGGCAGCACAGTCTGCAGTGCGGTAGACCTGTCAGCTCAGCTCTGAAGCAGAGCATATTAGCTTGGGTACAGCATTGTTTACATGTGGCTTCAGTGCTGCTTGTCCAGAGCTACCTTGTATTGAGCCAGCTGGGTGTCTCTGTTCAGCAGACCACAGTGCTTTCTGGGGTGAGTGCCAAGATAGTGGGTGATCCTAAGGGGTAAGACTCTCTAGTGTTACATCATCCCTCTACCATCCCTGTTCCTCTTCTCCCTTGGCATAGCTTACCAAATCTCTATGTATGAACTGACAGCTTTCCAGAAAAGCCATAGCATCACAAATATCATAACATATTTCCAGAAGCTGAAGGGGTTGTAGTTCCTTCCCATGACTCCTTAAGTAGCTCAGCAAACAGCCATTAGGCATGTATTCTGTCACAAGATAGATGGGATATGATTTTGAGCATACACCGTAGAGTCTAACAAGTTTGGGATGATTAAATTTCCTGAAATAAACAAAAATAAAGTAATCAAAGAATAAATGGAGATTCTTGCACATTGCTGTAAATTTTGTTCTCCAAATATTAACACAACATACTGAAATAAATTATTGACACTGGATACAGTCACATCTCAGACTTCAGATATTCCTTTTCAAGGAGAACTGAGTGTCCTTCTGCTGATTATTTTGAAACTCAATATTGATGACAATATTATAGTCAACTGACAGGAATGTAGTGCATTTCTTCAGGATATGTGATATATTGTATATTATTGAATTTATATTCTTCAAATATCATCTCATGGAATTTCACTAGAATTTCTAATATCCTTAACTCTTTGGAGTCAGAGACTAAAACTTCAACTCCCTTTATCATATTTCTGGCATTTCTCAGTTATTGATCTCTCTCTCTCATTCCTACCTGCAGGAAT